AATACTGAGATCGTGCCAGAATACAAGCTTGGTTACAGAACGTAACCGAATTGGCGCGAAGTCACAATCAAAGTGTGTGAAGAAGAATGGAAGCACAATATAGCTGTCATTAGCACAGTCAAACAAAAGCACATTAAAACAAACACTGGTACAGTTGATTATAATAATGATTGTTTTTATTAAACCAGTCGTGTTCTCGTGATAAATGTGAGTCACTACAGATATATCCGGTTTAAAGAGACATGTAATGCGAAGAATTACTTCAAATCTGAGCACTTATCGGAGGAGATGCGTTTCATGACCAGTGGAAGTGTGAGCAAATGAGGCCAACGCCTCTAGACAACGGTTCATCCAGTAAAACTAGACTGTTCCGCATCTGCTTTAAACACTTGCAAAACGATCTATTTTAGGGAATTATCTGCCACCCTAAGTTTGGTGATGCAACGCCTAACTGCTTGTAATATGCACCCGACTTAGATAAATCATATTTTTCGTGTCATAAAAATAATGTGACTAGCAGCGACATAATCGGCCGCAGTGCGTGTGAGGAAAAATCGATATTTTATTAGACAGTCAGGGACACAATTGCGCCTTTGAAATGGTCGCTTAATTATATGATACCGTTCGTCATTACAGAAGGATACTGAATAATTGGTCTTAAACAATCATCATTCAAATTATACAAACCTATACAGATCATGACAGATCGCGTGAATGTGGGGCATGGTGCAGATTTAAGAGCATACAAAAAAGAGCCAATCAGAATGAAGGTAGAGGTTTGGCGCGCAACGCAAGGATAAAGGAAATAAGCTTGATTGACTATCCGAAGGAAGGGTGTGCTAAATGCACTTTCGATCTGTAATTGAATACTGGTTTCCGTTTTTATACTAGTTTCTGGTAAACATTTATACTGAAATAACTTTCCTGTCTATCTTATTTCCAGTTAGCTTCGCAAGTGTTCACAGACCTAACGGGAACAATTCCTAAGAAATAGAAGTTATTTATTAATGGATCATTTGTGCTAGATTCAAACTTTAATAAACGTTTTCATTTATAACGCACCAGTCCTTTAATTATGGCAATTCTTATCTATTGTGACAGGTCGAAATTCGAACTACTAGTATGGTACTCCATGTTCAAGGTAGCAGTATCTGGTAAACGGTATGTATGACTAATCGCGTGTGCGCCAAACTGGTAATTATTACACAAGAACGCGAAACAACATCCCTGTCTCACAGCCACATAAGACTGCACAGTACACTCCCTGCCGTTACGCTATAAGAATAAGTGGTAGAACTCCAATTTATGGACGAGCCAATCAGAAGTGTTTGAGGAATTTCAAGGCTATGGCGCTAAGTTCAATGCGAGATGCTCTCATTCGATCGTTTTACAGCAGATTTTAGAGAAGAGGTGATTGTTGAGCGACTACAACAGATGGGACTATTAAGAGGTTCCTGTATCTGTGACCGCGGCAATCAAATGACTGCAGCACGATGTGCAGACTACCGTGATGACACTATACTTCGTTGTACTATATATTGGAGTAAAACATATGCTCGAAATGGCACTTTCTTTGCCCGGTCACGACTCAGGCTAAGACAAATCATGATAATTGTTGCAAATTGGATCATAAAGTCTCCAGTAACATTAGCTGTGGCTTTTGCAGATGTTACGGAAACTTCCGCCGTTCAGTGGTACGAGTATTGCCGTGATATATGCGCAATGAAAATGACACGAGCACATGAATCATTTGGAGGAGTTGGAAAGATAGTGGAAATAGATGAGACAACAATATTGAAGGCATGTGGTCTAGGCTGAAGTATTTTTTAAGACCCAATTACGGCTCCAGCGGACGATTACTATGCGAATATTCCTGCCAATACTATAAATCTGAAACCCGCCTTGACAACTTAAATCTCGCTTAGCTTTTTGACTGATGTTCCTATGCAACCTCTAACTAACTGAATGGGTGGCGATTTCAATAGGCCATATTTTGGCTAGAACCCGTTACATGGTTCTACTCACTTCAAAATAATCTCCGAAGTACTAGAAACGAAAACTGGACAGAGACAGTCATTAAGTACATCGAACAAGCTGGCCTATTGGACTTACGTTGTCTACACAACGCTCTTTCAAGCAAAGAGTATAATGGTCTTCGATTCCCAAGCAGTGATCATACAATAGAAGCCTGCCAACAAATTGCGGAAAAACGCTCAAGAACTTCAGTAGGAAAAAATTCATTTTGGTTTCTTTCAGGATCTATTCAAACACCGACTGACCGTACTATGAAATTCTACTACATGTTCTTAGTTGGGATTTGCCTTTTGTTCCAGCGATGTTAACACCAATTTACATTATCTGTATCGTAATCTACAAAACACTTTCAGATTTAATCGTTCCATTTAGAAAGAGAAATCCCCGAGTCTCTTATTGTGATTAAATTTATAATTAGAATGAAGAAGTTGCAGAAAAGGTTCTTTGCTCGCCAGAACTTTTATGCTGTTCGCAAAATTCAAGCGGTGTTTATCAACCATTCAGGAGTGTGCTGCTATGACAAATTGTTCAGTAGATACTAGCTCACCAGTTAAAGAAGCATGGTTTGTATTTAAAGGCAAGTTTAGTTCCGTTACGTCCTCGTTCATACCATACCTGGTACAACGTAGACAAGTCAAGAGACTTGTTAGACGTTGGAAAAAGCACTGGAATATGTTCATCTCTACTGGATTAGAAAAGTACAGATCCAGTTATTGTAAAATTAGGAGTGCTTGTTAAGCGTTAATAAGTAAGACTAGACGGTCATATGAAAAACAGTAGGTTAGGGATTGTAAATATAGTCCGGAACGTTTATACTCGTATATAAAACGGCGAACTCAGGAGAGCGATGAAATCCCATCACGTTTGATACATGAAAATTCGTTAATATTGGCAAAAAATGATACCGAACAAGCTGAAGCCTCATCTGATTATTTCAGCAGTGTTTTCCATCAGTAATGAGGAACGGCCAACGATTCGTTGTGATTGTAGCGGCTTGTTGATAGAATCTGTAGTTACTGAGAAAGGCAATGTCTTAAGACTACTTCAGCACCCTGAACTTGATAAGTCCTGTCGTCCTAACGGTATCCATCCTTGCATTATGAAAGCCGTTTCGGATGTAATTGCTGAACCTATAGCCATACTGTTTGATATGTCTCTGTGGCAGTCCAGACTACACAGGGACTGGAAAGGCGCCATAATTAGTACGGTGTATAAGGCAGAGAGTAGAGATTGAGTTGATAATTATCGACACGTCAGCCTAACTAGTGCAGTTGTAAAAGCAATGTAGAAAAGTATTCGGATAGCTGTTATAAACTATGTAAAAGAGCATAATCTTTTATCCAGGGAGCAACATAGTTTTCGGAGAGACCTTTTATGTTTGGGAAATCTCATTGCGGCGAAAGATCGTAATATTACTGTAAAAGTGATTTTCATAGATCTAAACAAAACTTTCGATAAGGTCTCCAATTCTGGTCTTCAATCAAAACTGGAATGTTTTGGAATCCATTATACATTCGTAGATTGGATAAGTAACTTTCGCCATGACAAAAGACAAAGGGTAAGGGTTAATGGAGCTCTCTCGTTGTAAAAATCTGTAAAAAATGGAGTTTACCCTGGCACAATCCTTGGTTCTCTTCTCTTTTGTGATAATCGGGAGTATTTGAATTATAGTATGCACTAAGAATCCCAGAAATAACGTAATCGGATCAAGAAGTACTATATATGCACAAACGAATGTACTGGGTTTAGAATTCGAAATCAAGCAATCAAGAAGTACAAAGTTATCCTCAGTTCATTCAAACACCACATCTTTTTTTCTTTTTGTAAATAGACTACCAACTGTAGCAAAATCATCCGTTTTACTCTTTGCCGATGACACAAAAATTTGAAGGCCCATACGCAGCATGTCAGGCGAAATTGTATTACAGGATGATCTCGACCCGTTGGTGGCATGGATGGACAGGTGGTCACTAGAGGTAAATCCTATAAGAGTGTGGTGATGCAATGAAATGACTATGATGTTTCGTATCACTACGCAATATGTGGATTCATATTACCCATAGTAAGAAGTTATAAAGATTTAGGAGTCATACTAAGCAGTGATCTCAAAACTACCAATCACTGTAAGGCTGCTGCTGCAAGAGGCCATAGAGTTTTATGGTGTATTCGTAAGTCTTTCCCGCATCAGGATGAAGAAATGTTTAGATTGTCATACTAGGATTTCGTGCGACCACATTTAAAGTTTTGGATCCAAGCAGCGAGTCCTTGTTTCAAGTATGAGGCGGATGTGTTGGAACGAGTTCAACGACGAGGGACCAAAAATGGTAAAAGGTCTATCTGGCCTATTTTATGAAGGGAGACTGAGACACCATAACTTATTTCCGTTATCTTACTGTATAATATGGGGTGATCTAATATAGGCTTATCGTATACTGAACAATGAAGTTGGTATTAATATGAGTAATCTTTTTTCCGTCTAGGAATGATCGTTTGAGAGGACACTCGAAGAAAGCTCAGAAACCGAGATCGAATCATCTATGTCTGGAGTTGCGTTTTTTGCACCGAGTAGTGAATTACTGGAATTCTCTACCAGAACATGTAACGTCAGCACCTTCTCTTGATATGTTCAAAACGCGATCGAACCTCAACAGTGTTAAAAACTGCGAAGATTAATATAGGTTGATAGACCTCCTATCCTTATTACTGAAAACCAAAAACTTGTTTAGCACAAAACGAAGACTTTGTTTTTAGATTGAGGAACTGAGTGGTAATTGGTCCAAAACGCCTTTCAGGAAAAATGCGAGAGCTAAACCCGGTCTATGCTTCAAGCAACCAATGCGTAAATGTTGATTTCACACGTCTGTAATTATGCAATTTAGTTTAAATTATTGTTATTAGTTTGCCAATTTGAACGTTTTCACTTTGAAGGTCGTTCCGTAACTCCAGTGAAACCAGTTTTCAAAGACATGCCTCGAGGTCGCAGTGTTAAACGAGGCTTCCGCCCATCTCATGCGTCGGCTCAAACAATGCTTGTTCCAAGCCATGCTGAATGTGCTGCCACAAATAAAGATGTAATTATTTTTGTTTTCTATTCCAGATCATAGTGCTTTTCGTCTTCAGCAAATTCTTTAGCTGCATCTCTACGTTGTAATTTGATTTAATTTTTGACTTTTTGGGTGCATTTGGGTCTTATTGTTTTCTTAAAGGCGCAAGCGTTGTAGTCCATATGCAGTGTAACACGAAGGCAATCTTTGAGGTTAACATGGCTTCATTTTTCCCAGATCTAGAGGGTTTATTTTTTATTTGAAGTTTCAGCTTTATGGTTTTGATTGCTATAAGGATTCGTCGCCTCGTATCATTCATAGTTTGTTACTTAGGTTTACGAATTTGTATTTTGTATCGTAGTGAAACTCCGAAGTGTGAAGTAAAATTTTATATATATATATATATATATATATATATATACTTGGAGTGACGTACGTTGATTTAAAATCTGCAAGATAGGCCCAATAACTGTACAAATTTTCTGCACCATCTTGTAGCTGTCCATGGCTGGTGTTGAATTAATTTATTGTAAAACGTGTTTGCTTAAATTGCAGGAAGAGATGAACGAACTTGACGAAACCAAAGCACCAAAATTAAATCCACCTAAATCTAGCCCCAGCAAAAAGTCGGATGAATGTGGGGTAGAGATTTATGAAGACGACGACGAGCTTGAAGATTCTGAGTTAGAAAACAATACCACTGGGAGGCGTCTGGTCGAGGGTGATATCGATGTGGATGATGCTGAAAGTGAAAGTGCAGAGGATGAACCTGTTGAAGAAGAACCTGAAGATACTCTGACGCCTGCTGAAAAAGCCTCGCAAATTTGTCGCCTTCCTGCAAAAGAACTTTGTACAGAAGAAACTCAACTGTTCCCTTTTTTAGAAAGTTCTTCAAATTCTTTAAAGGAGTCATATATTGCTGTCCGAAACCTTGCCGTGAGTTTTACATGGAAATGCTTGCAATAACTTATTTCGCAAATAACGAGTCTTGAAATAGCCTCTGTTTTTTATCCTTCGAAACATTGAAAACATTTAAGATCGGAGCATAATGGCAAAATTGTGTACATCTTTATCTTGTGATAAAAATAAGTTTCATGTTCTCATTTTATTATCACAGAAAGTTCGATGCTTGAAAGCTTATCCCACTTTTATCAAATACAGGTGGATTTATATTTTTAGATTGATTCCTCTAGTAGTTATTTTCCTAAATTGAGTTTAGCATAAACATATTCAGTTCTTTTCATATTTTTGTCTGATACTATTTGATTGTCTTTTCAAGAGTGGTTAATTATATATGTACGTTACAAAACCCTAACTTTCCAGTTTATTGTTTCGTTTTCATCCCTGACCATTGTAAACCTTTCTAACATTTGTCTTCTTAAAGAACTTCGATGAAATGGATTTCCCTTATCGATTTGCCTATCATAATTTTTGGATTAGTGATACAACAGTTCCTGTTTTTAGAAACTTAGTGAAAGTCACAATGGTGACGTGCATTTTAATTCTTTAGCGTAAAAATATTGCAAATCTGGTTTAAATATTCACTCTGCCTAATCTTAAAACGTGAACTAGTAGGCCATTTCCTATACTTTGGGAGCTATCTCTTTAAATGCTACATATCTGATGTGATTGCTCAAATATAAATGCTTAGAATGCGTCTCATCACAGTGAATATATATATATATATATATATATATATATATATATATATATATAATATTCAAACCAACAGTGCGGTTACATTTCCTAACATATTGAAAGAACTGGGGTATCGGTTTTCCGTTGTTTATATTTACAATGGTTCTGTGCCGGTACCATTTTTTCCATCGTTTTTATAGTTAAATGTAAATCCTCCGTCATTACAAAACAGCCGGGGACCCAATTTTCTGAAGTCCAGATATACTTCAGGGGTATCATTTTCGTACATACCAGTCTGTTATTCAAGATTTTGACTATTAGAATTCGGTCCTAGAAATCGCAAGGTCTGATTACTGAAGGTATCGTACACACTTATACCTCCTTCTTAGTTTAGTTACACATTACAAACTTTCTCACAGCTATTATTACCGTTTCAAGTGCTATTGTGAATTGTTAGTGGTTAAACAACTTCGTCACATGTTTATATCTTCGTAGCGAGAGATGTTTTACTCCTTATCTGTAACACTAGGCTGTCAGGAATCGAGGTGGTGATCTGCAGTTGTGCATCATAAATTTTGCTGGCTGGACAGCGTTCTAATACTATGATGTAGTACGTTTTTGTGACTTGGAAGCTTTATTCGTCAAGGCGTTCTCTATTTGACGTGTTAATTTGTATTTTGAATCACGTCTTGGTCATATCTTTATGTGAATAAAAAGACATCATAACTACGGTAACCTTCTGAGTAATTTACTTGTTTACAATGCGTACTAAGTTCTACTCTTCTAAAGCCTAATAAGATTTCCTATCTTATGTCCTGACTGGGAAATGACACCAAATTTTTAAAATGATAACATAGTATAATGTTTTCTAGGTGGTAACTTCCGGTTCAGATTTTCTGTGATTTTTCTGTGGATTGGTATTTAGTCGTATATTGGAAATTAAATAATAATTATGTCTATGCTGGAAGTTGTTTTGTACAATAAATTCTTTTGCAGTGTTTAATGTGGTCAGAAGACTCGTGTACACAGGTTACGCCTAATAGGCTGTTCATATACGTGATGAATAATATGTCAGTCGAGAATCTACGGGCGATGATCGATTCTGGTTTGACTGCCCCTTTACCAGTACACCAAGGATCCAACTCGTCTGCTTCTTCTGTTTGTGAGGAAAATACTTCTGGTGTCGGTCGTGTCAGACATAGCAAAGAGCTTTCTCGATCTCTTCAACGCCATCTAACAAGTTTAACTCTCCCAAGTAATTACTCACCCTGGGGTACGCCTACTGCAAAAGCAAATTTGGAACGGATGACTTATTTAGTTGTTTTGTTCTTGGAAAGGTGAGAGGTATCTTCTTTTTATCCTTTAAAACCCAATTCGTCTTTATTTATGCTCTTACCAGTAATTCCTTTAAACTATGTTTTAAGTTCTCGACTCCTGATCATAGTTCATGTAGTAACTTAAAATTTTCCCCTGCATCTTACTCATACCTTATCTAACCGTGTTTCACGTCAATTGAATCCCCTGACTATATATAAATCTCGCGTACCGTAATAGCCATGCAAATTGGTTTATTGTTCACATCCGATTTAACTAGTGTGATATGTGACAAGATATTGTTCATGAGGCTACCAGGACAAAAATAAGTAAATATTTAACTTGACTCAACTCAGAAGTGTCAACAGGCCTGTTAGTGTACCGGCGATAGTCAGTCAGTTAGTGACAATGTAGAACCGCCGATAAGTATCAAATAATCTTTTAGTTGAACCACAAATGCACTAAATTTAAAATAACACTTATATAATCTAAGTTTGTTGCTAGCTAAAACCAGGCTTAGGATGAAGTACGTTTCTTACATAGGTGGTATAGAAGTATCATACAGCTTTTAGAAACTGCTTGAAAACATTTAAAAAATAATCCTGCGTCAGAAAAATGGTAGATTGGTAGTTTACAAAATTATCCGATCGCATTCCTCATTATGCTGAATGCCACTAAATTAACAAAGTGATTTTTGGGTTTTACCTTCACATTGGTTTGAATTTTAACTGATAAATAATATACAATAAATGTTCAACGTCCTCCTTTAGTTCTGTTAACCTAAAAGGCTTGTATTGTCTATTGGAGGAAAATCGTTTTTTTTTCGGAAAATTAATGGAAACTTCTAATTTTGTTATTAGTCTTCAAATGTAAAGTTTTCAACATTCTTTAAAAACTTAAAACTTTGAAACATTCACATTAGTACGATAAGACTAGTCGTCATCTACATATTCTTTCAAACAAACGCGCGAACTGAATTAGGGAAAAGTCTATTTAAAACACAAACTTACCCTCTTCAAGCTGTTCCCCCTTTGTGGCAAAAAACTTGTCCCACTTCCGTTTCCATTATTTCAAACGTCCCTGAAAGACTATGGAATTTAGGCTATCTAGTTGCTACGTCATTTGGTGTTTCAACAAAATTACATGCATAGACAATTATCTCTAATTCAGTTGACCAAAAGCCATCGGACAGCAAATCGACAATCGTTAAGCATAAGAGACCACAGATATTGGATGGTCATCCTGACCTCGTGTCATCTTCGCAGTCCTTACGGCTCTTACTAAACGTATCGGCTCAATCGAGAGGCTCTAATTCATTTGATGTGTTATCTCCACAAATGTTTCTTACCATTTTATAAACTTCTTGGATTATTCTCACGTTTTAAAGAAAAGTTTCATAGTCCACTTAGTGTATTTGCTGAAAGGGCTATGTATTTTCAACCGTGTGATAAAGGGTGTACCATAGATTGCAGTCCGTAAAAATATGGTAATTTAATCTCATCTGCTAGCTTAATATAATATCATTTGTTTTGAGGAAATCGCTATTTTAGTATGTATCTGAAAATGTTGGAGATTTTGAAGAATGTTTTTAAGATGATAATTAGAAAATAAGAATAAATTAATACATTTTATATTCCTAAATTGTATTAAATAAGTAATCATTGGTAAATAGGTCTTATAAGGTTCGATTACTGAGGAAATATTGTGAGCTGTTCTGTTATCGTTACTGGGATTACTAAAATACATGGTAATTTATGCTTCTTTGGAGGTTCTGATGATCTCTAGGGACATTAGTGGAAACAAAGATAAGACGAACCTATTACTACAAACAGGAAGTATTTTTACGGAAGATCAATGAACCCTAAACTTCATAAAATAAGGTATCTATGGCGAGTTTAAGGGCATTTAAGTTAGACCATAGTTTTAATTTCGAGCTAACTGATGCATTGTGATAATAAACATCAATGTTTGTCACTAAATGTGGAAAGTAACCATAAAAAATACCAATAGGTTAATTATGTGTTAAATGTCAAGTCGTTAACCTAATACAGAACATGCCAGCGTAGACAAATTGATTAACTCAACTGACTTCTAATGATGATTTACCTTTTTTCATTGGTTTTTCGTCTAGATATGGATATATCAACTTTGGCATATTTAAAGTTATATCTCCACCCTTAACACATGTGAATTCATCTCGTACTGCTGATCCTGCTACCACTGCAACTTTCCTAGGATCGCCTATGGAAATATTAGACAAATCAGATGTCCAACTAACACCCAGAAGAGCTGCAGCTGAGAAAGCTCTAGCAGCAACCCGTCGTGCTAGCAATTCTCCTTCTGCCAGTACATTACCACCTAGTTCATCATCTACGTCACTGACAACTCCTCATTTTATTATAATTGGTGCTGGTATTTCTGGCCTAATTGCAGCAAGACAACTGACTTATTTTGGTGCCAAAGTTACTATTTTAGAATCTCGTGTATGTTTCAGTAACTACTTCACCTGTTGTTTCTTTTATAAAATTACAATATTCTTTAACGCGATCAGTTTTCTGTTGAATAAGTATATTTAATTTTAGTAAGGGTTCAATTCCTAGTGAGGTTGTTGCTACTCAGTCAGTCAGTCATCATCGAAGTAGAGTCTGTCGCAGATAAGTGTTAACATAAGTTGCTATATTCTGCTTTTTTTAATGTTACTTTAAATGTCAATCTATGACAAATACAACCCATAGTTTAAAACGTACTCTTCAAAACCTCTTCATTAATGATAATAATGATCCCAAGATATAATCTCTTTATGTACTTGATTTTTTTGCCACCCATTTTCTACATGTTAAAATTGATATCAATGGAATATACATAGTATTTCTTTTTACATGACATGTGATTACGTCAGTAGTCGTAACAAATTTCGAGGATTCAGTTTTACAATTAGATATTACTCTTAACGTAGCAATATTTCAAATTAAGTACCACTTTTATTCTTCAGGATCGTGTTGGAGGTCGAATATGGACTTTTAGAAAAGGTGGATATCAAGCTGAACTTGGGGCCATGGTTGTCACAGGTTTATGTGAGTATACAACTTTACATATGTCAAATTTTGTTCTTGCTTAAGTTTGCTTTAATTCAGTGTTTATTTGTCCCCAATTTATAGAATCGTTGTCTATTCAGAATTGATTTCTACTACATACTGTATCATTCACTGTATATCTGTGGTGATAATAACTCAACAGTGGCAACGTCTCTGTATGCTACATCTAATGATGTCCGTTCGAATATCTGGGAGAATATGTTTCCACGACGTAACAGACATGGCACTGTAATGAATGTTAGCAAATATAAAATCAGGTCCCGTTGGGATTTTTGTAATCGCTGAATACCCGTTTTTCTTAGACGAACTGTAATATATTTGTCTCAAAACTCCAATGATCGTTTACATCAAACAGGATCAACAGATTTTTATAGACTGATGTCAACTTAAATTGCAACTAGTGAATTGATGGTCGATGCTACCAATAATTATCTAGTCTTTATGTAGATGTGATAGATATTTTTGAGTTAATCCAGTCTTGCTAAGAAACTCTTGGTTTGTGTTTTCTGTTCGTAGTCATGTTGTGATGTGTGCTACTTATGTTGACGTATAAGTAGTATGTAATGCTAACCAAAAGTGGTACACCTGTCAAAAGAGGATTGAGAAGATTGAACTGAAAAAAACTGAAAGAGAAACAGAAAGGAATTGGAATAAAACAGCATTGAAGGAATCATGAAGCATGTAAAGGAAAACTGATGGAAGATGTGCAAATTATGTATTTGAGGTGTAGTTTTCATACTTTACGAAAGCACTGTGGTTTTGCATCAAATAATAAATTGATCTTCCCCATCTAAGCGTTCACCCACTACAATATTACTAATCAAATTTAGTTATATATGGAAACATGGTCTGTAATTAATTGTATTTTATTCAGTGTAACGTATATATCCAGAAACTGACATATTTCTTCAAAAAAATATTGCCTGTTTGTTGGTTGGTGACTTTGTACAACTCCCTAAAAAACTCAGTGAATAAACAGATTTCATCAGTTAGTCACAAACACTAATACCTCAGTTTTTACCAATATCCACCGTTCGAGTTATGTGATATGTGTTATCAATAAGCTAAGTATAACGGTCATCGTTAGTCGTAGAGGTTAAAACAGATTCTTACATAAACGACTAATCATTATTTAATTATAAGTTTTTAATTTAAAATTGTCTTAAATTCGATTTAAACCATAAGCTATTTGATTTTCTGAACATTGGAAATTTAACCTATTTTCTAATAAGTTAATTTAGTTTACATCCCTTTTGAATTAGTATTCCAGTTGGTTTATCCGTTCCGCTCGATTTAAACAGCTTTTTGTCAGTGTATAAACAATTTTGAGTATTCACTCCCATACTACTGTCACTATTATTATTATTATTATTATTATTATTATCGATATAAAACATGACATATAGTGTAAACTAAGTTGATCGTCAAATATTATTAGAAAAAGATTATATTTTATTCATTTATACCATTTAAATTGATCAAAATAACTCAGTAATCATCATGTAAGAATATATATATTTACTTATACCTAAGTCATATTTCTTAATTTCTTTAAGCATTTTGAACCAAAGAGAAGTGCGGGTCCGAATCAACAGTTTATTTGTTAATAGTTAAATCATCTAGCCACTAAGTCACTGCTGATTCACTTATTAATTAACATATATTTGTTAACACTTCATTACTAAGTTAATTAGAATAATTCTATAATTGTTTGATTGTTTGCATAGATACAAATAGAAAATTTTACTAAATCCAAATTTAATGAGTCACGGAAGTATTAATAATAATGATGATAATCCTTTTTTAGTGAGTATACCTAACAATTCTATCTTATTTTCCAAGAAAAGAAAATCCTCTTATCGCTAGTTATACATGATCAACAAGAAAGTATTTTTTTCAAACCCTCATTAACCAACTGACATGAGCTTTGATTAGCCTTTCATTTATTTTAGATTATCTGCTACTAGTAATAATACCAACAATTATTTTGTCAGTATAAATGCATTTATCGTTTCTCTTTTAGCTGCAAATCCTGTAGCTATATTGGTACGTCAATTATCATTAAATTTGCTTCCAATCAATACCGATTGCTCGCTATATGACTCACAAGGTCATTTAATAAACCGTGATCTTGATGAACAAATTGAAGAAGAATTCAATCGTCTTCTAGGCACAGCTGCTTATGTATGCCATTCTAAAGGATTAGATTCATTAGTTCTTGATTCGGGTGTTGAAATCCCTTTATCATTAGGTCAAGTTATTGAATTGTTAATTAAGTAAGTTGTGTGTCGGATAATTTGCTCATGATTAGTGTTATTATTGTTATTTTTAATGTCTGCTTAGTAATTAACACCACATACTTGGAGTTATTTTTGTACACATGAAATGCCTTATTGTTTTTCTTTTATTTAGATAAGTGAAATAGTTTAACTAGTTTTCATGTGTTCGTAAGTATACCTTACTTGGAGATTTCCCGAATAATCCCTTTCTGATAAAACAATAAGTAGATTGGAAGCGTTTTGTGAGATAAATAGTGTTAAATTCCCAGGATTACCATACTTTCCTGTATTTCTTCTGACATTAGTTGATTATAGTTCTGAAGTTAGCATGGTTATTTTCCTTGTATTATTTCAATTCGCTTTAGGATGGAAACCATGCTAAACGTTTTTTCTATGTGTACTATGTTTGTCTATCTAAATATGATGTGTATCCCGATGTTGAGCTAGTTGATGATTGCTGAGACTTTTCACTGTCGTTTGTTTCTATTTCGGCTCGGATTTTCCCGAAAAGCAGCTATTCCTAACAAATATTTGATTTTATTGACTTGTTTTTCCTGACATCTAAGTTTTTTCTTCGTTAGATAAGATCCATGACTTGATATATATATATATATATATATATATATATATATATATATATATATATATATATATATATCAGGCATCATTAGACAGATATTTCGTCTTAGTTTGAAATTTATTAGTTTTCACCTACAATCTCACATAGAATGGAACATTCGACTTTCAGCTTTTCCGGTATACATATTATTCTTATTCCACGGAGTCGGATTTGTGCTATCAAAATGTAGCAGATAATATACACAATCGAAAAATTGAGTTGGGTAGTGAAAATTGAAATTATGTGGAGTTAATATAATAAGACAAATAGGTTTATAGTAGTTATATAATGAGCTACAGTTCAGAGATGGGGTACACATGATACCAAAGTAGTGGGCAACTGATGTGATTGTGTTTCATATAAATAAATTCTGTAAGTATAACATATTGCAACCATATTATAAATTGTTTCAAGGTATTTTCAATCTGTAGTGTTTCGTTTTGTTCTTTCAAACAAGTTTGTACCAGTAGATAACTAAATGTTTGCTTAGATAACTTTGTAGTTATTTTGATCAAGATATTGGTGACGTGTTCATTGAGCATATTTTCGTCAAATTTTAAGAGCTTATCGAAATACAAAATTCTCATTCTCTTTGTAATAAGCTAGAACTTTTATTTATTATTATTTTTGATCGAGTGTTTGGATTTACTTGTGTGGTTCTCTAAATAGATCATGGTTCTGTTTTTTTTTATAACAGTGTGTTTAGCTCCATTTCTTCTTAGTAAAGGCCTTAACTTTCAGAAATCTAGTCATTTATATACTGATAGATTGTATGATAAGGAAGTTTCGTAGTCTGTCAAATTAAAATTGACATTCTTAAATGGATTAACCAAAAAATAATTAAATTATTTTCTTCTTCATTTTTAAAATCCATCGTTTGAACCTTCACAGCGTTAATCTATTCGTACAATCTTAAATCCGATATTCCCGAAAATGTTTAGTCTATAGTTATGGGTTTTCATATGTAAATCAGCTGTGATTATAAGTGTAGATATGCATATATGCACATATGCTTTATATTTGAAGTATACCTTTAAGTCACAGTGTATTGATAAGATTCTCGATTTCTTTACATTTGTCAATTTAATTTTACAAAATCCTTCTGGCTATTAAAATTTTCTAAAATGAAAACTGTTATCTGAAATAAAATACTATGATCCTCAAAGCAAAATTATCTCGACTAAATTAAAGGACATGGCCAGAACGTTTAACAGAAGTCATCTTGAGAATATTATTAACATTACATTTAAGTAATTAAGTACAACCAATTGACTTGAACTTATTTTAAATAAAATCTGGCTAGCATTTAACATTTATGATACTCGTCATTTGGATGTATTTACATCTTAGTGTTTATACTAACACTCAAGCTCAAACCTAGTGGTGCTCTGTATTTTGTTCAGAAAGTGGTACACATTATACATTTCAGTACTTTCGAACTTAACTGTATTTTTACTATGTTGTCAATCGAGCATCGTATTCAAATTTATCTTCTCATTGTAAAAATTAAATAGTTGTTTTAAGGTTAGTCAAAGATAGGAATATAATTCTTACTTTATTACATGTCCAATATTAATGATAAATTCAGAACAGATTAAGTGTACTACATAAAAGTGAATTTTGACAGTTTTAATTTGATTATTTCTTCCACTTTTTTTCTAATTTCGTATAATAGTTTCTATTAATTAACATAACATTATTATTATTTTGTTCTTTAGGAACAATAATTATAATCCCACCATAGTTTTTTTGAATATAATTCTCTCCATTGAATGAAATTTAGGTAGAGAATCATTGAAAAGTGTACTAAATAGCCGTTTAGTTCTAGTTTGACACCAGTAAGCACCACTATAATTGAAAGTAAAATAAATCATCATATTCTCATAAGGGTCAGTATTCTTTAGCACGCGCATAAAATGATTTTTTTAATATTATAGCAGTTAAATGTTTTGACCTGTGTTTAGAGTAAACAAACAGTTGATTGTACAACGATGTGCCACCTGTTACATTAGATAAGAGCTAGGCTACATAAAAAAATTAGTTGATGTTAAAAATGTTGACCATTTGATTCAAATTCATGATGACTTATTGGGTTCGATCTCGTCTATGTAGTTGTAGATTCATACATATCATTGAGAAGTCCCATACTTGGACAAACCATTTGTTCGATTCTCCCAAGTTTTCATTGGTTCCTTCCAACTATAATTGAATGTCAGTTCTTAATGAAAATTATATAAGTCTGTACAAAACACACCTTGTTATATTCTTCTTTTTCTTCGTATTACCTCTACTACAGTTTTCTTCATAAGTTCAATGCCTCCTATTGTTGTCTTAATAATAACTTGTTTTCTATTTTCTTAAGAAATTTCTATAATTCTTATCCTCTTTTTTTAAAATTATAGATATCAAGAAAAACATAAAATACAGTTGAAAATAACACATCGTAAATTGATCTCGCAATTATTAGATCGTAAAAATTCTCTATTAGATCAGGTGAGTTAATAAAAAAGAAGGATGAGTGTATTACAAAAAAGAATTGGTTGTATCCCATGATATTGATATTATCACAATTTATTATTTTTGCACGAATTATTGAAGAAATAATAAATAATGGTTTTTCAAACTGACCATTCATTGATGTGAACGAGATCTTTCTGTCTCTTGTTTTTTTCTCCGATCACCTCTTCAAATGTCGATGGAATCTTGTAAATTAATGTAAGGAAATTTCGACTTATATTCAGGCGAATATGTGTTCTTTACCCGGACTTTTAGTTTCATATCCGATTGCCGCTTTCGGAAGAACTTTTAGGGTAGGAAAGATGGCAAATTTCTTAATTTATTGTTCTGCTCACTGCAAAATTAACTAACTAATTGAATGAGCAAGTATATACATGCTCTTTCTCCCATTAGAAATTAAAGTCTATGTGAAAATTATATTCAATTTCCTTTATTTCTCATTGTAATCAGTGAAATGGTTGCCTAGAAATTTAAACAACCGTTTTTGTAATCAAGAAATTGTAAGTCCGAATCCAACTCTACCTATTTTTGTTTGGACAGCTAATTAGCATCATCAGTCCCTATACAAAAATTATGAATTAAATATCTGAGTACATACACTCGTACTCCGTAGATGACGTAAACCATATAATAACGATCGCTGCATTTTTAATTTATAATGATTTAAAGTTTATAACTCTAATTTGAACTATTTATAACAATCGACTTTACTCCTTAAAAATTTGTATGTATTTCTCTGTTGAACTTGTCAATGCGACTTGTAATTGATGAAATGCATGTTTTTGATTCTAATTACTGCATATTTACAATTAAATAACCGATTTTAATAGCTTTCTTGTTTATTTGTATTTAATGAAGACAATACCTTTACCCTATTTCTCTCTGGATTTTTGTACACGTAGAACAAGTTAATGAGCTATATGTTTTTAAAAAATGATAATAAACATATCATAACTGAGTATTTGAGTGACTTAATCAATGCACATCTAGATAAAACTTTTGATAAAAATTACCATTGTTTTATATATAGATTATTTTGATTATTGTAGTATTTCTTAAGTTATACCAGTTAGTTGTCGATTGTCTGCATCGAAATTAGTGAAAGCGACTTGTTAATCAGTAAATAAATATCATATAGATGCTACTTGTTTTATTTAAATGTATATACAATTTCTATTCGTGTAAATATTGAAGTAGGCGTCAAAAATACAGCTTCGTGTAGTTCTCCGTCTTCGATCTAAAATTTCGCTCGAATTCCTTTTTGTAAAAACTTAATAAAAACGTTCTGTTTTTACTTTTACACTATGACACTTATTACATAAATTATCGACCTCATATTAGAGTGTTTAATCGTTCCACGCCTTTTGGATGTAGAAGAATTTATGAAGTACACATTTGAATGTAATTAGAGGGCTTAATATATCGTTGTACCGATTTATAAAATGCCGATCTTTCGTTTTATTCTTGTATGGTAAATTTTATAAATGAGGAGCTATTACCTAACAACAACTGAATTAACCTATACTTAGCTATGCTTAATGAGCGGGCTATGCTCCTCCAGAAGGAGTAACAAGAGTAAGTAATTAAGTATCTATAATTAATACCAATCCGACAATCTTTGGAAATGATCTATTTCTAGTTTCGCAATTTGAATCCTTAGTTTTGTGGGCCAAAATTTTTCTACGAGTCGATAATTCATGTTTCCTACGACGACTTTTTCTATTCCCTCAATACGTTTCCTTGTCCCATTTATTCCAAGGTCGTTTGCAACTCTATATACAGACAACGTTTAAAATGAACTTATCCATTCCATCGGTAGTGAAAGTCCTCTTGAGAAAGACTAAGCTTTCTCTCTTACATTTGTTACGAATTGTTGAAATCTTACTGCTCTATATATCATCACATTACTTCATGCTAGTAAAATTCATGGACCTAATATTTAATCTCTCTGCTTTGTTGCACACAAGAAATGTCAGATCGGTTGGTAAATACCTGTCTTTGGTTAATAATCACTGATTCATAAATTTGTAATTAAAATCTCAACTAATTAACAGATAGTTTACTTTGGTATTTGTGACCTTTACACCATATGTATAGTCAAAATCCCTAACACAGCTAGCCTTTGGTTTGAATACTGATATGACGGGAAGAAAAGTCAAAAGTAGATTGATTTACTCATCCCAACGAGAATTATGAATGGTAACTTTTGATAATTATCTATGAACAAATATTATACGTATATTCTTAATGTATAACTATTCAGTGGCTAGATTATGTATATCTATACTCCTCTTATAACAAGCTTTATTTTGACCTATAAACTATTATTATACTACTTACCATTCTTGAGTTATGCCCAATCTTTCAATTGCAGTCTTCCACATTTATAGCCACTTTTGGCTAGATCTTGTACAAATCTTTATCTCTTTTCCATAGATGGTTATTGAACGTAAAAATATTGAAGCAGCTTATGAAAAGTGGCATTCAGCATCAAAAGCATTAAATAACCAATCGTCACCAATCCATCATTATACTCAACAGTCTAAAACACAAAATCCTACGCAAAATAAATCTCGTGTACGCAACGATTCATCATCATGTTCACCTCGTTCCAGTAGTACTGAACTAGATGGAAAACTAGTCATTGAATCAGCTTCATCAAATGGATCACAAAAGTAATCAATAATTGATCATAATTTCTATTGATTCACCGTTTTTGTTCTATACATGGCCTACTGGTTATTATTCATGAAATTTATTTCGAGATCTCTGATGATTATGTTTACACATAGTTAATTTTATTGTTGACTTTTTTGCCACGTATTAAAAAGTTTTTGGCTCTCTTCCAATCTATATATATGCAACTCAATACATAAATATTTGCATAAAAGTAAATAGACGAAGTCTATTTGTTCAATTAGAGTTTTTTGCGTATATTGTTCGTGTTAAATGAAGATGGATGTAGTACACTGTGAAATTTCTCATTCAGTACATCCGGTCGCGTACAACAGTCAAATATAAGACCGGTGGCATCTAGCGCTTCCTAATTTACAGTATTCAACTGAATTGTAAACATACAGCGTTTGGTAAATTACAAAACCTAATAAATTTCTCACAGCTGTGATATTCATACTACGAAGTTGAACGAAAAATTTATATTTAATTTATTGTAGTTATTAAAAAATGAAATATAGAAATACTATTAAGTGTTATGTTATTTACGAAGCTGCTACTCTGAATCTCACCAAACAACTCATATAGCCCAACCCTACAGCTCAGGTTCATATTATCCTGGATTATTATTAAATCCAACTAATAACAGTTGAAAAAATGGATAAATTAGATAGTGAAGAAAACAATGAAAAACACAGTTATTTACGCAGTGCCTTAAAGTGGCATTGTGATTCAGCCAGTAGGAATGCAGTTTTAGGGGGCCGAGTCCAAGTTCCCACTAGCGCATCTAAAACTACCGTTTCTAGCCACACATTTATGAATGCATAAAAATAATGGAAAGGCAACTACTATGCAAAAATCGAAATATCAATATTAATAGTTTGATTTCATAGAAGCAGAATGGTTGATATTTAAAAGTAAATGTGTTATGACAATTTGTTCTACATAACATATACCTTGGTGATTCCTCTAATCGTCTTTTTCCCGTTTTCACAACGATTTCACCAGATCAGCTGATAACAATGCGGTAAGATTATCTTCCGCTACTGATCTATCTCAACGTCCTTCGTTACCAGTATTTAATGTTAGCGCTCAATTCGAAGTTCGCCAGTTACTTAGTCATTTACATGAAGCTTGGAAAAAATTTCAACCACTTCAAATTGCCCTGTCTCAAGTCAATAAGCAATTAGATATATTACTTCAAGAACCACCGAAGTAAGTACATGCAACTATATATATGTTAAATGATTAAAATATTTGGTAATTTTAGATTGTTTCCATTATTTGAAGCATTCTTAAAAGACTTGTATTTAGACTGTCATTTGATGTTTCAATAAAATTGCATTCACAGACAATTATCTCTAATTCATACGAATATTCATCAATATTAGAACGAATATTTTGACAAAAATTGAGCGCCGAATATAGAGACAAATTTGTTGGACGGAACGCTGGAATTATTCAAATTTCAATCGCTGAGATTATTTCAAATATAATTTTCACAGATAATGTCTATCTTTAATTCAGTTGACCAAAAGCCATCGGACAGCAAATCGACAATCGTTAAGCATAAGAGACCACAGATATTGGATGGTCATCCTGACCTCGTGTCATCTTCGCAGTCCTTACGGCTCTTACTAAACGTATCGGCTCAATCGAGAGGCTCTAATTCCTTTAATGTGTTATCTCCACAAATGTTTCTTACCATTTTATAAACTTCTTGGATTATTCTCACGTTTTAAAGAAAAGTTTCATAGTCCACTTAGTGTATTTGCTGAAAGGGCTATGTATTTTCAACCGTGTGATAAAGGGTGTACCATAGATTGCAGTCCGTAAAAATATGGTAATTTAATCTCATCTGCTAGCTTAATATAATATCATTTGTTTTGAGGAAATCGCTATTTTAGTATGTATCTGAAAATGTTGGAGATTTTGAAGAATGTTTTTAAGATGATAATTAGAAAATAAGAACAAATTAATACATTTTATATTCCTAAATTGTATTAAATAAGTAATCATTGGTAAATAGGTCTTATAAGGTTCGATTACTGAGGAAATATTGTGAGCTGTTCTGTTATCGTTACTGGGATTACTAAAATACATGGTAATTCATGCTTTTGTTTTAAAGGAAACTTAAATATCTCCGCTGGATTATTTATCAGGCGAGCTATCAGTATAAACTTGTTTTACTTCACTTCTGGTAAAATGAAAGAAAAACTTTTAATGTTACTTTTCATAAACTGGCTACAAGTAATAAACTTAATTTATTTATACAAAATTGTAAAAGTTGGTAAAACCTCTGTAGATATCTATTTCGCATATATTCAGTGGGCTTCATTAGTCCTACAACTTTCATAGACAAGAATAATAACTATGATATAGATAACGTTCTGCTTTGATCAAAATATCCAGCCGCTATTATTAGGTTACAAATTGAAAATCTGCTCAACACTCCCTTCATTAGTATAGATAGTTACTTGATGTCGCTGAATTAAGCAATATGAATTGACACATTATTGAACTTTGAAATAAAATTATTCAGATTTGTTGAACCTTGAAAATAATTTGATCAGTATAATCAATAATTATGTATATACATACATATACACGAATGTTGTGAAAGCGATCTCAGGTGGGGACAACCAATTTATTTTTTAATGTATATGCATATATATTCACTAAAATGACAAATCTGTACAACTCTGGCCATGTCATTCATGGTTTAATATTTTCATTAAAAAGTCCTCTAAAAATATCTTAGGAAATACAGTTATTATGTACAAAATGAAGAAACGTACTGATAGAGTGAGTAAATCAATCTTTTTATTCATTTTGAACGTAAATCTTTAGAACCACAAGGTTTTACTTTATAAATAGCATTATATCAACTTTTTTGCCTAGACTGAATAGTCACGTGACAAATTTTGGTTTTCTTAAAAATTAATATATTTTGTAAATGTCCTACTGACAAAAATTACGTACTTAATTCCCATATTCCCCCAGCTGAGGAGAGGAATCACACACAATAAAATTATCATTAAAGGGAACCTATTTTCGACTTTTGTATAAATCTAAGCTTAATTTAAGATGCTTAACTGAAAGTTCAACACAGTAATTTTTTCCGAGTACATTTTTAATAGACATTCCATTTTAGTCTGACCAGCTCATATACAGTTAGTATGATTCGAAAATTCATGAGTAAACTTGTATCCGATAAACTTTATTATTAAATATTTCTTAGTTTTATCATGCTTAATGTTTGTAAAGTGCTCGATTTTTAACTATCGAGTCACAGTCTTGAATACTACCTCCGCGTCTATCTATTTCGATTTGGTTAACTCCCCCCAGGGTTGTATCACTGTTCATTATATACAAAATCATATGACTTAATGACAATCATATATCTTCAATGTTACTTTGATCGATCGATTGACTAACTGACTGAAATATCATAAAACTTGAGATAAGCTGTCCATTTAAATTCTTATTATTTACAATAAAACAGTGAAATTAAAGAGAAACCGAACGATTAAAACATTATAGGAAAACAAGATTTGAAGTGTAATGGAAGAAAGCCAGTTTCTGTTATCTGTCACAGTTGGTATTTTTCTAATTCCCTTTGTACTGTTCACATTATTAGTTTTATTCCTTAGTTTGACCGGTATCAATCTTTACTATTGTCACTATTGTATATGTGTAAATGAATAGTGTGTGAATTTATTTCAATCATAGACTCGATCCGTTTTAGTATGGACAAGTCCAAACATCCTATCACTGATTTTCTCTGTTATTTCAATGAATTTCTCATTAACAATCTTTTTGGTTGCTCATACAATCCATGTTCTTTGTTCTGTCGTTTTACTTTCATGTCCTTCAGAGATATGTATTTAACCAAAGAAGAACGTTCTATACTTGATTGGCATTTAGCTAATTTGGAATTTGCCAATGCCACAGAATTGCATAATTTATCATTACGTCATTGGGATCAAGATGATTTGTTTGAATTAAGCGGTGATCATTGCGTATTACAAGACGGTTACGGATCAGTAACTGATAATTTAGCACATTTTATTACATCTGGTCAGTCATTAACAGTTGGATTAAAACCTCGTGATAATCATCTTACATCTGTAATAACAACAACATCGTCATCAAATTCATCCACTTATAAACTTGGACCTGGTCATATTGAATTGAAAAGTACAGTTAAACGTATTTCTTACTCTAATACAGGTACATTTTATATTCAAATTCGTATATTTTGTAAAATAGACTTGTCAGATTTTAAGTGATTCAAATGCTAACTATAAATCGAGTGATTTTAGGTCCATACTTCATCAATAATAATGACAAAAAGAAGACTAGATAGTAGAGTTAATGATGGTTATTTCATATTCATCAAATATCATTAACAATTTGACCACAGATGCCTCAGAAATATTGCCAACATCTGCTGGGATCACCAGGTAAGTAATAGTGAGTTTAGACTCAGGTTATTAGGGAATGATGATAAATCAGTTGATGAGGTTGTGAATCTTCATCGACTGAGATGGTTGGGCCACGTGTTACGCATGCCTAAACACCGATTATTACGACGTGCAACGCTAACCAGTGTTGGGGATGGTTAGAAGGCAGTTGGGGGCGGCCAAACCAAAACGTAACATCAGTGCTTGGAGTCACTAACTTCTAGTCTGAGTCATGTTGGTAGATGTGGACTACTTGGTTGGGGTCCGCGTGACTATCGTAACCAATGGTTGGAGACTCTTGGTGACATGGCTCAGAATCGATCACAATGGCGTCGGTGTATACACTCTTTGTCCTCCCTTAAACTATGAGATTAAAATTATTTAAAATCTTTCTTACTACGAACTAATTCTTTGTATCTGCATTATATCCTTACTTAAAATCTTTCCTTTATATATTACACCATTGAGTTAACTGCTTCTATGAATCCCGTGTTCGTCTTGCTGTGCTAATGAGGTGTGGCAACTTGGACAGATGCATGTATGTGCCTGGTCCTACGTTGGAACTGACTGACTGACAAGCTGAATATGCACAAGCAAACAAGAAAGTGCAGAGGAGCATTGGAGTGGAAAATCAGAAATACGTGAAGGACCTAGCAACGACAGTGGTAAAAGTTGCAAGAGAAGGAATCATGAGATAACTATATGACAACGAAGAAACTGACAGGGAAATATAGTAAAACAGAGAGACCAGTTAAGGACACAGAAAGCAAGCCATTCACTGAGATTGAAGAATAGAGGAACAGATGGGTAGACCACTTTGAAGAACCCTTGAATAGACCAGCCTCACTGAACTCACCGGACATCGAAACAACACACACAGACCTTCCTATAGTTGTCATCTCACTAACCATCGAAGAAATCATCATGGCCATCAGACAAATCACGAGTGGGAAAGCAGCAGAACCTGACAACATACCAGTCGAAGCATTAAAGTCAGACGTAGAAGCAACTGTCAAGATCCTCCACATTTTATTCAGGAAGACTTGGGAGGAAGGACAAGTGCCGACAAACTGGAAAGTAGTATACCTCATCAAGATACCAAAGAAAAGAGATCTGAGAAATTGTCAGAAATACAGATGCACCACACTAGTATTAGTACCAGGGAACGTTTGTTTTGTATTGTCGAACCAGATGAAAGATTCAGTAGGCGCTCAGCTTCGAGATTAACAGGCTGTGTTTCGTAAAGGTCGATTGTGTACAGGCCAACTCGCGACACTAAGAATCATTGTTGAACAATCATTTGAATGGAACTCACCACTATACATCAAATTCCTTGATTATGAGTAAGCGTTTGGCAGTGTGGATAGGAGAACATTATGGGACCTTCTTCGACACTATAGTATACGTGAGAAGATTATTAACACCATAGGGTATTCGTGCGATAGACTATACTGAAAAGTCGTGCATAGAGGACATCTGATTGATGTATTCCAAGTGAAGACCGATGTCAGACAAGGCTGTTCACTCTTGCCCTTTCTCTTTCTTCTGGTGGTTGACTGAATTATAAAGACTTACAAATCTCAGGGAAAGTACAGAATGCAATGGACAGCTTGGATGCAGCTAGATGAATTAGACTTCGCAGATGATCTAGACCTTCTATCACATACACGCGAACAAATGCAGAGGAAGACAGCCAGTGTAGCAGCAGCATCTGCAACAGTAAGCCTCAACAGAAACAAGGTAGGAAGAAAGATTCTGAAATGTGACACAGAGAACACCAATCCAATCACACTTGATAGAGAAGCTCAGGAAGATGTGGAATCTTTCACATATCTGGGCAGCACCAACGACATACACGGAGGATCTGATTTAAATATCAAGACAGGGATTGGCAAAACAAGGGCAGTATTCCTTCATTTGAAGAATATGTGGAACTCGAAAAGATTGTCAACCAACATCAAAGTCAGAATCTTACGACGGACGTCAAGACAGTTCAAATACATGGAGTCGAAGCTTGGAAAACTACTACAACCATCATCTAAAAAGCACAAGTATTTATAAACAGCAACCTACTGTTGCAGAGAACAAACAAGCTTCCAGCCGAGGGAAATCAGAAAAAGACACTGGGGGTGAGTAGGACACACATTGAGAAAATCAGCAAACTGCATCAGGAGGAAAGCCCTAGCCTGGAGTCCTGAGGAAAAGAAGAAAAGAGGAAGACCAAAGACCATTGCGTCGCGAACTGGAAGCAGACAACAAAACAATGAATAGCAACTGGAAAGGGTTGCCCAGAACACAGATGTTGAATACTGGTGAGCGGCCTGTGTTTCTCCACGGGGAATAACAGGCGTAAGTAATTTTCTTGAAGAAATTCGAATGATATGAATTTAAAGAGCTAAGATATTCACGAATTTTATTTTAGATCTAATGTTGAAAAAATCATTTTTTAAGTTAAGCTTGCTTAATGATTGAATAGTGAATGATCAAATTTTACATTACCAGTGAATTTTCGGTCATGCATGTGTTAGAGCATATATATATTACAGTACCATATCCGTTAAAACAGTCATCTAACTCGTAGGCCGTGAGCTCAAACCCTGTTTCACCTATATCGGTTGTGACATCTGGTTAGTCCCACTAGCCTTTACACAAACAGTGATTCAAAACCGAGTACATGAATCTGTATCTGATGAGTTACATCGTCATACAGTAAGCTTAACTTGATCAGTGTTGGTTGTCTGTGCTATAGCTGGATTGGTTTTAAATCTTACAATAAATAATATAATACGGTTTAATTGTTAAGCTTTCATTGTCATACTGGACAGCATAATGAGATAATAAATAAACCACCTTCGAATATTTTGATTGTGCTCGATAGTGGTATACATAACGAGCGTTTCTTCCTATTTGAAACTGGTCATCTGAATTTACTTGCACCTCAATGTTGATGTTCTCATTGAAGCTCAATTATGATATTTATTACTGAAAACTAAATTAACTTAGCTCAGAGAATAAAAGATTACTCAAGATATGAATGGTTTTCACTTTTCTCATTCTGTCATGTTATACAACATATTTACGTATAATATATACACAAGGAAGATTTTTGGTGTATAATTTAATATCAAAATATCTTTTTGTTTTACAGGAGTTCAAGTGGATGTCCTTAATTCGGCATTTAGTCAAGATGATTTAATTGAATATGAAGCAGATGCTTTAATTTGTACTCTACCATTAGGTATCTTAAAAGAAATTATCCAACAAGATAATGAAACAACCATGCATCAATCACAAATTACAACAAATGAATCATCTAAAAATTGTCTTACAAAATTAGTTGTACCACGTTTTGAGCCACGTTTGCCTGATTGGAAAATTTCAGCTATTCAGCGTTTAGGATTTGGTGTATTGAATAAGGTAAGCATTACATATAGTACAAAGATGTATACCGAGTGAAATATTGGTATTTTTTTAGGTTGTATTACTCATTTTGTAAATACAACCTTGTTCAGTCTGTTTTACATTACACTGGATACACGGGGCCTGAAGATATTAATCGGCTTCCCAAATCGAAACAGGAGCAAGGATCGAATATGTTACGAGTTTGTTGTTTGATTACTATTATCCTTTTAATATTTGTAAGGTAAAGACAACAGAAACAGTGTTCGTGTTATTATCTCGATTTAGTGACTTCTAGTTTACTATTCCTCTTCTTTATCTAGTGTTAGCTATCATTTTAGAACATCAGATCTTATTTAATATTTTTCTTGTCGAGAGATGTTGACTAACTGATCAATAAGTAAGTAACCGACATTGTTTTACTGTACTAGTCCTTTGGTATTGCTCAAATTCTATCAGCTACGCGGTCATAGTTAATAACTAGTTCAAATGACCTGATATCACGTCACCACTTTGTTTGATTTAGAGAATTCCTTTCTCCAATCAGCCAACATTAGGTATCTTAAAAGAAATTATCCAACAAGATAATGAAACAACCATGCATCAATCACAAATTACAACAAATGAATCATCTAAAAATTGTCTTACAAAATTAGTTGTACCACGTTTTGAGCCACGTTTGCCTGATTGGAAAATTTCAGCTATTCAGCGTTTAGGATTTGGTGTATTGAATAAGGTAAGCATTACATATAGTACAAAGATGTATACCGAGTGAAATATTGGTATTTTTTTTAGGTTGTATTACTCATTTTGTAAATACAACCTTGTTCAGTCTGTTTTACATTACACTGGATACACGGGGCCTGAAGATATTAATCGGCTTCCCAAATCGAAACAGGAGCAAGGATCGAATATGTTACGAGTTTGTTGTTTGATTACTATTATCCTTTTAATATTTGTAAGGTAAAGACAACAGAAACAGTGTTCGTGTTATTATCTCGATTTAGTGACTTCTAGTTTACTATTCCTCTTCTTTATCTAGTGTTAGCTATCATTTTAGAACATCAGATCTTATTTAATATTTTTCTTGTCGAGAGATGTTGACTAACTGATCAATAAGTAAGTAACCGACATTGTTTTACTGTACTAGTCCTTTGGTATTGCTCAAATTCTATCAGCTACGCGGTCATAGTTAATAACTAGTTCAAATGACCTGATATCACGTCACCACTTTGTTTGATTTAGAGAATTCCTTTCTCCAATCAGCCAACATTTAAACCTCTTGTTAGAAATACCTGTGTGTTGAGAACAATTATTAACTTTACTTCATCCATAAGGATTCCATGTTTGGAGCTTGCTCCAACTACATACATTTTAAAGCGCTAATCCTTTCTTACATGAATGAAAACATGGTTCTGTACTTATCAAATGAATTGCCTAAATATGTATTAGTTTGATTCTTTCATTTATTTACTCTTTATAAACTTTAGTTCTTTTTTGGAATATACAAACGATCGTTTTATAATGTATATTTTCATTGCTACTAATCCATTCATTAGTAAGATTTTATGAGTAGATGTTGTCTCCTATAATTTTAAATATTGTTGAGTTATCGGCCTCTTTCTAGAGAAAAATAATATTCATATGATTGACTAGATTTCCGTGATTTTTTATTGTTAACTGTTATTTTCACCGATTTGTGTTAGTTGATTAGAAAGTCCAGTTTTTGATATATTTGTTCATTACTAAATTATTTATGTTATGTAACTTATTCAGATATCAACATCTTAAGCTATTTCCATACAAGATGTAAAGAAGGCAATAGGCAGAAGGAAAGTGTATTTATTGTAAGAAGTTACAAAATATTTACTTAACACATATATGTAATCGTTTAAAGATCCCCATCATATTCAAAGACTAATAATTTGAACCATGAATGTTCTTTTCGATAAATTCTCTTCAGGTTCTACAATTATATATCCAAATTAATAATCCGAAAAATGGCCATGTTAAGGGATTATTAATTTGGATATATAATTGTAGAACCTGAAAAGAATTTATCGAAAAGTATATTCTTCGTTCAATTATTAGTCTTTTAAATATACGTAGTCTTCAATCTTCCATTTTCATCTTTCGGTGTATTCTGCCATCTGAACTGTTTACTCCTCTGGTTTCCAAGTACTCTGCCGATATCGTGCTGTCGACGCAGTGAAACTCTTCGCTCTGTTTGACAATTTCTGTAACTTCGGCATCAGATCTTGCTACACACTACTTACAAACATCCTTCTGAGTAGCGTCCGCTTCAAAGGTAGTAGTAATTTATTCAATTCAGTTCATGCTGCTACATGGTTTGATTGATTTTACTGGATAGTTCGTTTTGCTGTTGGACCAATCGGCTTACACCGTTCCATCACTCTCCTATTATAATTTTACATTGGCTGAAAATGTATGTACGGAGCTCAAAGGTTTGCTAAGTAATGAATAATCATAACCACAGACTAAATATTGTCTTCTAATACTTCTGTGGCCCAATGAGACAAGGTACTGGGAGGATCCAACTGTTTTTTTACCAATTTGTGTTGCTCATTGAAGTGTTTGCTTTTTATCATTTTAATCTATTCAATCATAACATTACATCGTTCCGGTTGATAATGGACATTACGACGAACCCTGATTACTCTGTGTAAATTTTAACCATACAATTGATGTTATACAAAAATAGCTTTAAATAGAGCAAGGACAAACATTGATGCAGAATAGTGTGAATTCATATTATTTCGAGGTTTCTCGTCAGCTGCTTACAAACCAATATTGTGATAGAATTTCTTACATGGAGATAGTGTGAAACAACATAAATGAGTGTAAATAACTGGATTACAATAATAACTATATATATATATAAATAACTGGATTACAATAATAACTATATATATATATATATATATATATGCTAGAAACAGGTCAGAGGTCAAAAAAGGGGGTTAATTCAGGTTGGTTGGTGTAATAGTTTAGTGAAGTTCATTAATTGTGTGATAATTAGAGAGATTAATGGAATTGAATAATGATAAGGTAGATTACGTAATAATAATTAAATAAAATTTGAGAAGTCGTGACCAGTGGAGCTAATCCGTGTCGGGTAGAGACAAGTATCTACCTCAGTACAATGGAAGTTGGTCGCGCAATTTCGTGGATTGGTTGATGTCAGACACTAACACCATTTGATGCCGGCTCAGTGGTCTAATGGTTAAGTGCTCAGGCGCGAAGCCAGTAGGTCCTGTGTTCGAATCCCGCGGGGTGCGGGATCGTGGATGCGCACTGCTGAGGAGTCCCATACTAGGACGAAACGGCCGTCCAGTGCTTCCAGGTTTCCAACGGTGGTTAAACATCAATTGATTCATGATCTCAACCAGAAACTTAATAATCTCCACAACCCCCATACTGAGAATTTGAAAAGTTAAGATAATTTAAGAGGATCAGGTGGTGGAAATGTGTGAATAAAATTTTAGTTTAAGAATTAGGTAATAGGGGGGGAGTATAAAATATCTTAAAATAAGTAAATGAATAAAATAACCAAAACACACAAAAAAAAACACAATTGCATGAAAAATAGCTTTGTTTTGATGATTGGTTTATCAAAGTTGTTCAGTGTATGTTTGAAAATCATAATATAATTAGTAAACAAAGCAAATTTCAACCTTACAAAGGAAACCAACCTAGGTGTAGATTCGTTGTCCTGCTGGCAACTCTCGATGAACATGACTTCAATGACCATATTCACGTAGTGTTAATCGGTATTATCTCTTTCGTTCTCTAGGTTGTACTTATATTTGAGAAGAGTTTTTGGGATCGTTCACACAATCTATTTGGACATGTGAATGAATCAACAAATTCGCGTGGTGAATTATTTTTATTCTGGTCAATTACTGATAAGCCTGTATTGATAGCGTTAATTGCTGGTCGTGCTGCATGTGATTTAGAAAATGAGAAAACTTCACCTACACGACGTCTATCACCAGGATCTAAAGGTCAAAACTCATTAGTCAATAATTCTGCCACACCAACATCTCATCTATTAGGTCGTGGACTTAAAGAACCTATTATTATACGAGCTATGCAAGTTCTTCGTGGTATTTTCAGCCAAGAAGGTAGTAGTAGTGTTAGTAATAATAATAATAATAACAGTAACATTAGTAATTGTAATGGTGGAATGCATAGTAATCAAGAAAAGAAGAAACTTATTGTACCGAATGTAAGTTTAATTTATTGAAAATAAAAATGCATGTGGTTTATTATTTTTTATCTTTTTCTCATGCAACTAAATCTCAGTATTATGATTTAAATATAAAAACCAAATAAATGGCGTTCCAAATACTAGCAGGCTATTCAACATAATTCAAATAAGCAATGCTGGGGATAAACGCTAATTTAATAAAGTATCTGTTATACTGTTGATCTCACTTTGAACTAATGTTGGCTTATTAGTTGTCGAAGTAAAATTATTTCAAAACTTCATATCCATTGTTAATTAGATCCGTAAAGACTACTACATTTCGTTTAGCATAGACTTTAAACCTTTTTTGTAGTTGTCTGCTATTTATTAGTTTTACTGAATAATTAGAACACATGTTACTTTTGTCCCCTGTTTTGAAAAGATTAAATATGTGGATGTGTTTTGTTCAAAACATTCGACTGTTATATCAAAATTTGGACAACTGTCATAGGTAATGATGCAAAGAAGCTAGTCGTAGAACCTTGCGTTCAGATTACCTTTGGTGATTAGAAATGAGTTCATACGAAATTATTGTCAATTTTACTCATTTTAACACAGTTTTATTAATGCTAAAAGTGTTGTGTTATCTTAAAAATAAATAAATTTTATCTTGCTCTGGAAGTCTGTGATTTCCAGTTATAATGAATACAATATTAAGAAATTATTTCTTATTCTAGTACGGAATCACTCATTCAACTGTATTCATTTTACATCACAACTACATTTCTTGCATCATTTTGGCTGTTTTGTATATCCTTGTCAAAAATCTATGATCGCTTATCGATTTTCTAATCATTTGGTGTTAATCCAACCGGATTAGATATATTTTTTAAGTAATAATTCAACAGACGGGACAGTCTTATACGACAGATTTCTGCACACCATTCCTTTGTTTTGAATCAACCTACTTCAATTAAATTGTTTACCATATTTAATTATTTATTCTAGCCAATTGATGCATATGTCACGCGATGGAGAACTGATCCATATTCACGTGGTTCTTACTCATATGTTGCTGTTGGAGCCACAGGTGCTGATTATGATATTCTTGGTGAACCGGTTTATTACTCTAGTAGTTCGAGTGATGAAAAACAAACAACAACTCATGCATCTGAACAATCTCATGGAATTTATGATATTTCTATGCCAACTAATAATCCTCGTATATTTTTCGCTGGTGAACATACTTGCCGTTGTTATCCAGCTACTGTGCATGGTGCACTTTTAAGTGGTCTACGTGAAGCAGCTCGTGTAGCTAATCATTACTTTCCAGGTCAAACACCTGTACGTGCGTCAGGATTTAAATTAAATACTTCACAGTCGACAAATCTACACTTCTAAATTATTCCATTGTTTATTTATTTCCCTTTCTCTAGTTTTGTCAGTGTCTTCTCGGAAAAAGCTGTATTTTCCCCTATACCTGTACTTTATCGACTGACTGTAGATTAACTATTTCATAAATAATTATTTTCCACCTATTAGGTTTTATCTATCTTTATATTTATGTGTATTCACCCTTATGGAGTATATTTTTTCCTGTAAAATATATTGATATACTACATTTGTGTGCAATCGTGTCATATTTTGCAGTTTATGTTTTGATATATTTGCCTAACCTCTATTCGTTTTGTGCATAACGTATGTTTGTATGGATCGAGTTTAGTTGTTTTGTATTATACGTGAAGTTTTGTCGGTTATTATTATTATTATTACTCTCTGAATATTTCTTGATTTCTTTTATTATGACTAATGCATTCATTACCCCCTTTTCATTTTGTAAACAAACTTGAGAAATTGTGAAATACGATAAATGACAAATGCTTGTTATTCAGTGTTGTGTATAGTATTGTGGTGTCAAACTTACCACTGGTTTGTAAACAGTCATATACAGCCATGCTGATGAGTTAAAGCTTTATATTGAAATATTTGCATTATTTAATTGATAAATCAACGAACTCTTAGGGCTACTTATTTTTTATTGCATAATGATGTTATGCGAAGTTGTTTTATCTTCACTTTAACACTAACCCTTTGTATTTAGTATGGATTATCAGCATGTAGTTTTTTTTAAATATTTTTGTTCTCTGGCTTAAACTATTATCGTTATTGCACTAAGATTCGGTAGATGGCTGGTGTTTCAATAGTAGGCCCTAGATCGAAACGTCGCTACATCTATTTCGATTTGGATAAACATGTTTTATCGCTGGTCCTCACAAAAACAATGTGGCTCAAAGCCGTGTGCATAAAACTGCATTTGACAACGTAGTTACATTTCTTTCTATTTCTATTTACTTACTGAAAGTGTTATATTATCATTTTTTGAAGCCATGGTCTGTGGCATCAGCTGGAAATCAAGAAGAATTGGTTATGTTTCTTTTCAGTTCGAAATTGTTCAATAATGCTCAATTACTAGTCATTTAACGTAAAAAGCTTAGTATTCGTGAGAGTAAGATAGCATTCAGTCCCTGAGTGGGAATTCGGTAGCATCGTTTTTGTAGGGAGTTGTAATTCATTATGTCAAGAGGAAGACTGTGTGCTTATGACAGGTTTATCACCAAGTTAGATCATGCATTTCTGAACGTTGAAGAATATTTTTCTGGTTTTTCATGATTCTTCAGCCTGTAATGAAACATATATTAAATACTCTGTTACGGCAACAATTAAAGTGGAAGTATCTGCTTTTCAAGCTCAACAGAACATATAGATCAGTTTTTCTGTCCTGAAATTTATGCACAATGATGTTATCAGGTATCCATTACCCAGAAACTGGGAATTCACCTTATCAATTAAATCTCTCTGCTTTAAGTTCTCGCGATACATTTACCTTTGACTTATTTTTGGTATCTTGTTAAAAACATTATGGATTTAGTTGTTCTACCTCGAAATTACTAGCTATACTTATACTGGCTAGGTAAGAACAAAATGATTATAACTTGTAAGAGAATGACAGGTCTTTTAAGAATGATTTTAATCTGGAACTTTTCTGAGAAAGCGAGAAAAACAAGATTTGGAATTTTAAGAGTAATTTTAACCTATAATCACTGATGAATAAGCTAATAAGGTCAAACTTCTGGGGAATCACTTCTCAACTTCAATTATGTCAGTAATGTTTGTGTTTTGATTTGATAGTTATTTGTTTATTTGAACGATTGAAAAGTTTTTTTAATAAGACGGGAACTTGATCAAATGAACGCCTAATTCACAATAACGCTACAACATTAATAATCCATACACGAATAAAAGTGGGAATGAGAATTTCAGAAGAGATTTACTATTCCCCAAAACGTCAAAGATTTGGAAAAACGGTTTTCTGTATACAGTATTGACATTGAGATGTCACAGGAGCGAAAGTAACTAACCAATGAATAGCAAATGTCACCATCGTGGTAATATGAACCACAAATCATCAATGGATTACTTTCGTTCGAACTAAAATTTATTAATCAAATGGAAAAAAAGACATTTGGGACCTTAATAGTCTTGAAGTGATATGTAACACCAGTCAGAAATGGAAGACCTGGCAACAGGAGGTTGAGAAGATAGAACTGAAGAAAATAAAGGAATTGGGAGAATCGTGAATGATTTAAAGGACAATTAATGGAGGATTTACAAATGAAGTATATAATGTATGATTTTCACATTTTATGAAAGAACTCTAAGTTTGCATTCAATAATAAATTGGTCTTTCTCACCTAAGTTCTCGTTCACTACAACATAAGTTTGGTTTATACAGTTGTTTATAAATTTTGCTGGATATTCCTTCTTGCTAAGTAGACTAAAGCGCATATATTATTTAGATGATTATTTTACTATCGTCACACAGAAAATGAATTCAACTCAATAGGCCACGTTAATCAGGTATGAATCTGTGAATTAAGTATACTGCTAAGGTGAATGTGATTCATTGTTTATATTTTGTTTAAATATTGTATTCAATCTCATAGACTAGATATCTCGAATACTTATTAAGTAAATATCTCTAACATGCACACAATTAAATAAACCGATAAAAATAATTAGCAGTAATTTTTGTCAATTTCAATAATGACAGTATCACATCAATCTCGTCTTATCATTACATTTAGTAATATGAGTATGGCAAACATTTTTGTGGTCAAATTTACCACATATCGTTTCATTTTTATTTTAATGTGTAATTTACTTATTGACCAATACACATTCTGACTAAATACTATAAGGGTACTGTGTTCTCCATGATATCTGAATGTCTTTAGTCCAACTCTATTCGGGTTTATGGGTGCTCGTTACGGGGAAACCATCCAAAAACGAGAAGAAACTACCATCCTCAACATTACCTAGTTGTCTTCAGTTGGCATCAACTGATCTAAAGGTTTAAATTATTTATTGCGTTAATGATCGTATGATTTGTTTGCGAGTTCACTTTGAACAAATGGGGAAGGAACCTATTTTTATTCAGTTTTGAGTGGGACATGATCTGAAATAGAAGTAGGGATTATGTATAATTTTGCTTCTACACCAAGCCAGATTCGGTGTAGGATCCTACGAAGGCTGTTTCTTGTTAATCCAAAGTTTCTAAGGTTCTTAATTAATAGTATTCTCTACGAAGTTATTAATAAAATAGATGCTATCTAACATTATCTTTGGGATTTAGTGCAAAAAAATCTAATAGTAGCTATCTTAATCCTGACTTGGCAAGTCGTATGATATAATTACGTTGAACGATTTGAAGATGGTACAGGTTTTCAGTGTTTGACAACGCTTTTACCAGCAACACCTAATATAATTTGACAGAGTCGAGGAGATCGGAAGAGTGTATTTGGCGATTACCAATATATCGGAATTCTCTGATCTAATCTGGCTGGCGATTGCGGTAGATGTTGAGCACAGCGTTACCACACGTGATCTGGTGCGGATGCATGACCGAGCGCCTTCAGCTAGATGAGTCCACTAAAACATATGATCAGCATCGAATGTCGAAAACTTACAGAGCTATTTATTTTGGGGATTTATTTACCGCTACACATTAAACAACGATGGTAATGGAGGATGGACATTTTTAGAATTGCTTGCCATTTTGTCAGACCAGTCAATGAGGATGTAAGTAAGCTACATATCATGACTGCTGCAAACTTACTAGCTAATGACAAGCTTGATTATTCCATGTACATATTATGATTTGGCTTGGTCAAGTATGTATTTTGTAAAATCTTCATAATGCACAAACTAATTCTTTATTAGTGACCTATGTACTTGTTGGTTAAATTCAGTATTTTTATTTTTAGTTTCAAGTGTGAATTGAAACTTCCGTCAACCGTAGCTTAAGCATAAAAAAAAAACAGTAAATACCTCCTAGAGATTTCAAGTGAGTCTGTTTGTTAATTGCACAATGATAAAACTCTAAATCAATTCGATAGGTATATAGTCTTGTCGATTTTGTATTCAAGGTTTAAAATGTATTCAGCTTTCTCCTATTTTCCCTCCATTCCTCTCTTTCTGTCCTCAAGCCATGAATACAAGTTATTATACATGCACTTGAAAGATGGCTTTCATTAGTTACATATTCTACTGATATGAAACAATGGATGTGCAAGTGTATACCATTGGTACTTATTCACACACTACATTGTCGCAGTCAAAAAAGCTTTCATCATTACTTGTAAATTGTTTGTTAGTACAGTCCGATTAAGAGGATATATTTCAGCTTGTTTTTGTCCTTAGTAGCTAAGTTGTTCACTTTAGTTTCCAAACTTGATTTTACCCAATAGGTCTTTTTTGTGGTGTTTTGGAATACTTAAATAAATGTACATCTGAGTTCAGCTAACGGCACTTCTATGGTTAAACAGCTGTTTTTGTCTAAGCTGCCCCAATTGGTGAGATTACTTCTCGTTTCGTTCCAAAATAACACCGTATAAAAACTGACTGCGTCTGTCGATCGGTTTCTGAAAACCACTAGATTCCTCAGCATTGAGGTTTGTTCTGTCAAAAAGGGCCTCCAACGCCACAGAATGCAATTACGGTTACTTGTGATACTTTCATTTGTTTTCTTACTATTTATTTTACTCTTAGACGCTCCAAACCTCCCACGAAGAAGTCCATAACGAAAAAGATCGACTTTTATACAAAGAGAAGCAGATAACCTTTATTGGTGTTTGTATAACAACATCTTCGGTAAATCTTCCATAAATTGCAGGAAACCTTGAACTTTAACAGACCCAAAATCTTTCGTTACTACAAACCTCTCACGCGGTAATGTCAAATACAGCTAGTGGATTAGCTGTCTGTTATACATCACTGACGTGATGACAAACGTTTTCTATCTCGCTGACACTGGCACAGAATTTAGTCTTTCTTGCGAATGT